GACCTTCGTGTCTGATAGGGGTGGGCAATATAACGGTATCACATTACCATAAATTCTTGTATAGCCAGAAAATCTATATATCCTATCAGTTGAATATCACCATATTGTGATGTATGTATAATATCATAATATATAATCAAATTTTTGATCAGAAAAAATCATCTACACAATTTTAACAAAGAAGTTGACACTTGAAACAGATGTTCATGATATTATATTATTGTTGGTATTTCTTGTAATCAAAATTTGTTTAAAGAACAAAACAACAATTTGTTTCAATGATAGCTTGCCAGGCAAGGTAATATACGCCCACTGACAGCTTTGATTTTAAATAAAAATATTTGACAGTACAGTTACAATTACCGGTATGAAATATTCAACCTTCAGACATACACTTCTTTTGAGGCAATACTGAATAATGTTATCAAAATCTGTCAAAAATTGGGCGTTCTGGATTGTTTTCAAGAACAAAGGCAATAACTCATACTAAATATTTTTCAATTTTTCTGATTTTCTATAGGGTTTATCCTTGAGTGATTAGAAACACTCACACCAAGTTTCGTCAAAATCTGTCAAGAATCGTGTCTTCTAGAGTGTTTACTAGCTAAAATTGAACACATTTTCAAGAACAAGGGCAATAACTCATACTAAATATTTTTTGATTTTTCTGATTTTCAAAAGGGTTGATTCTTGGGTGATTACAAACAACCATACTGTCATCAAAATCAGTCAAGAATTGTGGACGGACGGACGTGGGTGACGACAATATACGCCCCCCATTTCATGTGGGCGTATAAAAACCAGTAAAAACCATTCTTTACCCTTTCAACCCTAGAGACACGTTTACTGGACACATAATTATGCAATACATAACCAAGCAGCTGGAAAACCGTCAATCATACAGCGTTAAAGGCATATGCTTTTTTTAGATTGGTGCTCAAGGCATATGACATTTTATTTTATTTACTCTCAGTGTTCAAAGGGTTAAGACAATACCACAATATATATCAATACTTATATCATGATAATGATATCACTGGATAATTACGCAATATAATTTGTTTACTAGACATGTAATTATGCAATATATAACCCAGCTGGAAAACCGTCAATCAAACAGCTTTAAGGTCATACCCTTCATATTGCTTGGTGTTCAAGGTATATGACATTTTATTTCATTTACACTCAGTGTTCAAAGGGTTAAGGCAATATCACAATATGAACTTATATCATGATAGTGATTAATATTATGATATCAATTTCAACCAATATCTCCCAGCCCTATAGTACCAGACACACAATCAAATCATAAAATACAATCTCTCTTGAGAAGCAGTAGATAAATTCTTGTATTTATACAATTCTTGACAATGGAAAACCAAGTCGTACTAATTACTCTATTTATCATGTGTAGGTTTGACAGTAATAACTCCTAAGAAATACGACTGACTTCTCATAATGATATTACTACTAATAAGTCTGTAGAAATAGCTGTTATTATACCATAGTGAAATGAAAGGTGGTTATCAACTGATGCTGCAACATCTCTCACACTGATGGTGCCATGGGCAGCCACCCCAGATAGATTAGTTGTAGTAAAATTAAAACTAATGTCTTTAATTGGTCATCGATATTCCACTGAAAAATTTACCAATCTAGACCATTGTGAACAAAACTCTCAAGAGAGTCAAATTATATGAGACCATCATCAAATTATGCAACAATTTTAAAACAAATTTTATGCCCCTCAATTTTTCAATACAAAATCCACGCCCATCTCGAAAAAATTACTCATTAAATACCTTGTGCCTATATTACCGTGACCAAAATACCTTGCACCCGTTTTACTGTGACCAAAATACCTTGTGCCCGTTTTATTGTGACCAAAATACCTTGTGCCCGTATTACTGTGACCAAAATACCTTGTGCCCGTAAGTGATTCATTTCATAAAATAGTCAATATCAATTGGAGAACCTCTGGTGAAAACTTCCAAAACTTTTTGTCACTTTGGATAATGTGCAACTCTAGTTTGGCAAGCCCTATGTCTCTATCTACTTATGTAAAGCATTTGCTTTCTTCTGCCACCGGTATTTATTTTTTTCATTTGCAATAGGTGGGCCATTGGTAAATAGTATAAATGTACAGTCAGATAATCAAATAACAGAGGCTTATATATTAATATTAACAGAAGAATTTCAATAATGAATATCTTGAAAGCACTCTGTTCATTTGTTTTGATGAAGCTTATATATAATTTCATTGTTTTGAGAATTTACTCAATGTGATCCATCAGGACCTTACATGAAAAAGAAGAATCTTAATTCACTATCCTGCATCATCAAACCTGTAAAATGTCCAAACAAGTATTGATATAACTGGAAGGTCCAATTACTATAAATAGTCATGTAAGTGTAACATGTAATGTCAGTAGTACAAACTGGTCAAGATGACCAACTTCTTTACCTGATTGGTAAACCATTTGCTTTCTTCTGCTACCGATATTTTTTTTTTTTCAAAATGGAGTATAAGGATCAATTTATGATTCAACATTTATTTCATTCATATGTAAATTTATTGACAAAAGCTTGTAGAATAGAAGCCAGAAATAGTCCACCTAAATTTCTATTTCCCTTTATTTCACATTAGTATTTTAGACTCTATGAGTAAATAATTCCATAGCTTCATAAATAACTTCATATTGGATTAAGCGGATTTAAGTACAAGAGAAAATTTGATCAATAAAATGTAAATGTTCGATTATAGACTGACTGGACCTAATAGTTATAAACTCAATGCATTCATTGGAGGCCGAAGGGACAGGTTGACAAAGACTAAAGAGTTCCCTACAAGTAGGGTAAAACTAACCTGTCTCACGACGGTCTAAACCCAGCTAACGTCCCCTGTTGTTCAGTGAACAGATTGTAGAGAAATATATCAAGTCTTTATGAGGCCGAACACCAAACTAGCTAAAACTGTTTAAAAAGTTTTATAATTATTCATTATTCATCAATATCAATGAAATAATTCAATTTTAGTAATTAAATAATATAATCATATAGACTAGGGATCATTATTAAAGTGGCATTCTGCTTTTTTGTAAAATCCTTTCATTATCAAAAGCCTTGTAAATTATACCTGAAAATATTTGTAAAATATGCTATTCATATCTGAGTAATTCCGTTACTTTCAGGTGTAATTCCGTTACTATGGGAAATTTAATCTAAATGAAAAACTATTTTTAAGCATCTCACAAATCTCTTACTTTATATTAGCATCTGAATAATTCACAATATTTCATAACAGAATGGACATTACTGCTTCACATACTTCAAAAAATTAGATACTTTTGTAAAGTGGTGAAAAACTCTGATATTTTTTATGTAATTCCGTTACTGACACATATTACTCCTGTGTTGCAAATCCAATATGCATAACTAAATCGTTCTAGAAATTCATTAATTGCATAACCATCCTCGGTCATAAAACAGCTATTTTTGTTGATCAAATGACTTCTCAAAACCTACAGCATTTAATCAAACAGACCCTAGTGGCTCTGATTGTAATTCCGTTACCGTGGAATTGCCCATCTATATATCTTCTTGATCAAACTAATTTTTTTTGAAAGGGTTAATCAAAACCAAAGAGTACTAATTGTTTATTAAGACATGTTTCTCTACGAATAGGCGTTTATTTTACTCAAATCCATTCCGTATTTTGTTAACCATTTCCAAAAAGCATAACAAAATTAACAACGTACCGTAATGTTTTTAAATATTTTTGGCGTTAAAAATAAAAGTTAAAACCTTCAGTTGTTACGTTAAAGCTTTCCTTAGATTCTGACGTATAGTTTTCACAAATTTGAGCAAAAAAAATTTAGATCTACAAAAAAAGCGGAATATCCCTTTAAATACTTGAACTTAATATTTCAATTTCAGCAATACCAGATTTATATAAGATGTCACAGATTGTCTGATTATTAAAAAAAAATAGTCAAGCTCCATGACCTTTAATTAGATTCAAAATCTCATTATGGAGTGACTTGACATATTTCTTTTCGAGGTCTTTCAAAACTCATTTTAAGTGAAATTTGAAATGGTTTGTCATTTAAACTAACAAGATCTAAGTCTAGAACTCATGAAAATAGTCTTCAGAAGCACTAAAATATGTATGGAAATCGCATGACTTTTAAAAACATACATCAAACAAGATATTTACTCACTATTTCTACATGTTTTCTGTATATATCACAGAGTATTTTGTCATTTTAACATTCAAACACAGATAATTCTGAACACAAATGGATTTGAAGGCTCAAATTTTTATAGTGAGCTGTGAACACTATTACTGATTGGCTTAGATAAAAAATTCCTGTTTCTGATTGGTCAAAAAAAAAATGGTGAATCTGTTCCTTTAAACTAGTTTTCTAAAGACTTGTAACTAAGTGATTTTACTGGGTCCTAAGAAATTGTACAGTTACCAGTCTATTTGGTGACTGTTTAATCTGAATCTTTGTGTCCGTGACATATGCACGAGATGATAATTTGATTTAGTGTACCAGTAAAAAGTCTTCCTGAAGTGATTTGATGGGTTATTACCAAACTCATGGGAAAGATCAGCTATAAGAAATATCTGAAAAGTTTTGTCTCTTTGAGATCCTCATCAAAATCACTCTGGTCCACCCTCTATAGTTGGGCACCCTCTCTTCCACTTAACTGAACCCCTATCTATCTGTGCCAAAAGGGGCAAAAAAAATCACATTGTACCAGCTTTCCGAGACTGAGGGGTACAAACAGGGGGCAGACTGACTCAATACGGGGACAACTGCTGAGGTTGAATTCAAATTTTGGCTACTCTGTGGTAGTGTCATAGTTGCAAGCCTCTCATAGAGCGACTTGGAGGGTTCTCTCAAGAAAATTTTAGAAAAAATGAATTGGTGGTGCAAACCACTGTACACCTACTGGCGCACCACTGTATTGGAATAATATAAATTAGTACTTACCACTAATGTATAATTTAATGGCAGTCCAATGGCTGCAAGCCACACCTGAAAAATAATTAAAATATGTTACCAAAATAATATGGATAATGTAGGACTTTGCAGAATTGATAACCGATGTAGCAAAAGTTGAGTTTTCCCTGCCTTATTAGCACTACATTTTACTGTTAAATATTTGTACTTGGAACTGGATTCAAGAGCTCAAAGGTTATATATGCAATCGCGCATACAGTTTTTTGAGGTCTTATGCTTGATAAACCAATGTGAGTGGATAGGAAACATTTGAAATGCTGAAATTTGTTTAATTGATCAAATTTTTAATTCGTCAAAGAAGTAGTGGAAAAACAATCCACTGCAGAATGAAATGGCTCCCAGATAGATGACAATCAGTATACAACAAGCGTATCTGATTATATTATAACAAATTTGTTTCATATTTGGGTGGGCCATTGGTAATTAATATAAATAGAGTTTCTTTACATAAACAGTCAGATATCAAATAACAGAAGCTTGTATATTCATATTTACAGAACTATTTCAATAGTGAGTATCTTGAAAGCACTCTGTTCTCTGCGCTGTTCTCAAGTATGGGTGCATAGCAGTATATAATTCTGTCATTTTTCGGTCCATAATTAGTATACTAAGTCTAGCTTGCTTCTTGATCACTTTATGGACAAATCTCTAAAGGGTTGTACCAAGGCAAAGGTGATCCCCATTCCATTTTGATGATAATTTCATTGTTTTGGTCAATCTGACCGATTTCAACCACCCGACACTACATCTTGAAGAAGGGCCCTTTTAAGTGTCTTGAATCATCAAACGCTTCAGATAGACACAGGAAGACCTTTCAGATGTCCAAACAAGTATTGATATAACTGGCTAATCCAATTACTATAGTCATGGATCCTGTACATGTCAAGGAACAGTATAACTGGTTAAGAACCATCTTCTTCACCTTATTACCTTTCATACATACCGGTAACGAATATCATATTTCCATTGACTAGCACACCATAATACCGGTACTTCCTTTTCATGTGGTAGTGTAGGCCTACACTATTACTACAATGCCAAACACGGGAATTTCATCATATACAAACTACATACTGTATGAACATATTGTTAGACATAAACGTCAAACCACTTACCTGCCGGTATAAACAATTGATTCCGTAAAAAGCGTCATCAATTCTGGTAAAGAAAATTCGCTTTTTATCCCCATGAAAGGGACGTTCGAGAGTTAAATTGACTGTATACTCAGGCCTCTCATACAGTCAGTAATAAACACTAGGATTCTATTAGTAACTCGCGCTTTGCCAAGCCGAGTCTTTCTACAAGAGAGTCGTAGTGAGTCGACCGGCTATATATTGAACGATATCCTTCCTTTTGGCGCGCGCGGTTTAGGCCACGGTAAAACTATGATTTGATTAGTGCCTGTGTAAAATGGCTATGGAATGTAACAGTGAATACTAATTGTTGTATTCATGCTGAGCCACACGTCCCGAGTTTATTACATCAGTCAAGTTTACTCAAACCAGACAGAGCAAGTTGTAAGAAGTCCAAGTTTGACCTTGATGAACTCATCTTAATAACTTGTGGTGGAATGGTGGATGATGGACAGATCGGTGGTGGTACCGGTACAAGTTTTTGTAAAATCGGAGTGTTTGCCAAAATTGGTGCCGCAGAAGGGAAGGGGTGCAATACCTGACCCTTGTCTTACATCCAACGCAAATGGTTGGGATAGATTTTTATAGGGCTCATATAGCCTACTATGTATAGAAATTATATGGGTCGGACGATTGATCAGTAAAAGACCGACGCCTTCTTGGGTCAGTTAGAAGTATTACGAATTGTGTGTCTTTGTGTGCTCCCACCTTCAGTTCAGCAAAAAAAACTATATTCGACTAACGAGTTTTTTTTTTTGGCAAAACATGTTATAGACGCCGTTCATTTAGTCCCCATTGGTCGTCTAAGAATGTATTGACGTCAATGAATAAGAATTGTCGATAGGGTATGAAATTGAGGATATACTTTAAAAGCTTGTAGGTAATATGATTTGTATTGTTACCAAAGCTAATGATTACATATTTCATAACAAAACTACGATTAACAAGTGGTCTACAATGTGCCTTCACCGCGAAAATATGAATTGAACAAACGGGCAAAACAAAGTTGTTCCTGTTTGAATCTATAATAATAGGCGATCAGATAAACAATAGGAAGTAATCCTGTCAAGTGGCACTTGAACTCATTATTATGGTCATATTTATTACACAACAATTTTTTTGTCGCCGAGCGCTTTCCCCATTAGACCAGAAATAGAAGCACTTGTCTTTGAGTTTCTTCTCCTTTTGGATTTAAAATTATTCCATGGTGATCGCTTTTTTTCCCCTTTTGGGCCACATTTTATTCCATGTTGGCCGTTTTTTCCCCTTTTTGACCACAAATTATTCCATGGTGATCGATTCTATGCCCCTTTTTAACCACAAATTATTCCACGATGATCGGTTCTGTCCCTCTTTTAGACCACAAATTAATCCATGGTGATGGTTTCTGCCCCCCTTTACAACCACACATTATTCCATGGTAATCGGTTTTGTCCCCCCTTTTTAAACACACATTATTCCACGATGATCGGTTCTGTCCCTCTTTTAACCACAAATTATTCCATGGTGATGGTTTCTGTCCCCCATTTTAACCACAAATTATTCCATGGTGACGGTTTCTGCCCCCCTTTTTAACCACAAATTATTCCATGGTGATCGATTATTTCCTTGTTTGACGAGAAATTATTTCATGGTGATGGGTCCTTCCGAAAGTACAACAGAATCTTTTGCTAGTTATCCCTTCTGGGATAGAAATTATTGTACCTGGCGATCAGAAATTTCAATATTGAACGAGTGATTGTTCCATGTAATCAATTCTTCTTCTTAAAGACCACAAATTATTCCATGGCGTATTGGTCAACAACAGTTGTTTTGATATAATACAGCCACCCATTGAATTAGAATTATATAACAATCGGTTGGATTGATATGATACTATCGACTGAGTTGATAAGATACCACTACCAGTTGGCTTAAAATGTTACAACTATCAGTAAGATTGATATGATACGACTATCAGTGGGATTGATATGATACAACTATTAGTGGGATTGATATGATACAACTGTCGGTGGGATTGATATGATACAACTATCAGTTGGATCGATATGATACAACTATCAGTGGGGTATATATATCTATATCGGATGGATTGGTACGAAACCAATGCCAGCTGAATCGATAATACAACTATAATCAGTGGGATTGATATGACACAACTCTCCGTGGTATCGATGTGATAAAACGTGGGATTGATGAGATACAACTATCAGTGGGATGGATATGATACAACTATCAGTATGATTTATGTGATGCAACTACCAGTGTGATTGATATGATACAACTATAAGTATGATTGAGGTGATACAACTATCAGTGGGATTGATTTGATACAACTATCGGTATGATTGAGGTGATAAAACTATCAGTATAATTGAGGTGATAAAACTATCAGTATGATTGAGGTGATACAACTATCAGTATGATTGAGGTGATACAACTATCAGTATGATTGATATGACACAACTATCAGTATGATTGAGGTGATACAATTATCAGTGGGATTTGATTGAAATGATACAACTATAAGTATGATTGAGGTGATACAACTATCAGTGGGATTGATTTGATACAACTATCGTATGATTGAGGTGATAAAACTATCAGTATAATTGATACGATACAACTATCAGTATGATTGAGGTGATACAACTATCAGTATGATTGATACGATACAACTATCAGTGGGATTGATATGACACAACTATCAGTATGATTGAGGTGATACAACTATCAGTGGGATTTGATTGAAATGATACAACTATAAGTATGATTGAGGTGATACACCTATCGGTATGATTGAGGTGATACAACTATCAGTGGGAAACTAATCACACGAATTGATACAGACGACTTAATTGTGATACGACTAATTGATAATACAAAACTGTATGGTTGAGGTGATACAACTATCATTGGGATTGATATGATACAACTACCAGTGTGATTGATACAGACGACTTGTTTGTGATACGACTAATTGATAATACAAAAAATGTACCCGCCCAAGATGCTAACAAGCAATTTCCGTACTTCTATTTCAACTCAATGAAATATTATTACTCCTTAGGAACCATCCTAAGTTTGTACAGAGATCAAAAAATCAAAAATGAAAAAGTGTTCGACAAAAATGAGAGACCGAAGAGTAAGCACTTGATAATTGATATGGACGGACGCAACAAAGTTATTGCGTATTGTTGGTTTAAATGGTTTCCATGACATAAACATGTAAATACCTTCGAAAAGCATTGATAACTATCTCCAAATAACTACTTGTCGTTTAGAAACATACACAATAATAAAAGGAGTTACGTGATTATAGGACACGTAGACCAATTTGAACAAAATATTTTTAACGTTTTCCTTGAGAATTGTTATCTTAAGTAAATACAAGTAGTGAGAAATATGTCAAGTGCAATTTGTTTGTTAAAAGTCGGTGATAAATGGCATATGTTGCACATTTCTGCATCACCTGGGACTCTTAATATAAAGACACCGAAAAAATTTGACAAATGAAA